TATTCACGTGGTAGCGCACGCACGTATAACGTGAACACGAGAGGGCTGCATGACAAATAGGGAAGGGCTCGCTGCACACATACACATGGAAATTCCATGAGCGCGGATGAGTAACGATGCACAACTGCGTTCCCCACCCCTTTTACAGTAACCCGCAATCTTGAGGACTCTTTAAAATGTGCGAGATGACTTGCTGAGAGGGAACTTATGCACTGGTCAACAGCACATGCCACACTTGGGCTGTTTGCTGCTGCTGCTTACTCAATCGGTTACATTCGCTTGCTGTCTGCGCCAAGGTTGACTCACTCTGGCTGACAACAATGCCGGTTTTGAGCAAGGCTGTCAGAGCGAAACTGAAGTTTTTTGTTTGCATCTTCATCAAGCCGCGGTTACATTTACAGGACACGTCGCCTTCAACAGCTGACACTGTTTCGTGGAAGCACGTGCGGTGAGCTATGGGACCCGCAGGAAATGAGCGCGGGTGTGAGATAACATAACGTTGCTTAGTTTTTATAGAGCGGGTGTGAGATAATGTAACATTGTTTAGTTTGTATAGAGCACCGTCGTTCAGTCCCAATTGCATCTCGCGATTGCCGAGGAGCCACAGATGAGCAGGAAGGCAGCCCGGCGGTAAGCCGACGCCCAACAATCCTCAAAGCTCTGCAGTCCTCTATATGTTAAGATATGTTCAGGCGATTCATGAGTGTTTATACGTGCGGGAGCAACTGTTAACCCACGTGTGCTTGGGGGCAACACCATTGCATATGGAAGGGACAGATGATATCAGTGAGCAATTTTCTGTACCGCCTTTGCCTGGCGAGCCGGGGATGTATATATTACGTCCTTTTGTGTCGTACGTAACCAACCGCTTCAATCCCAGGTGCGGGGGGGAAGGACAACAAACGAAACACTAAAAGCAGTTCTAGAGAAATTCGTTTTCAATCTAAGGATGATGGTACCTCGACGTCCACGGGAAGGGATGCTTCACAGCTTCTGTGCGATCCACTAACCCTGGCTGCCTGCACACCCTGCTGGGTCACGGGCCACGTGTGCTAACATTGCCAGGCCATGAGATGAGAGAGAATGGTCAACCACAAAGTGTAGGCAAGATGCATTTTTATTTTACTCGTAGAATGTAGATTCACAATGTTTCAGAACGCACCACTAATTCCATCTATTCTTGAACTGAAAAAAATCCAACAATTATCCGTGGAGCCAGATTTATATTCAACTGTTACAATAGGCATTTAAAAAGCGGGCTGTTATTGAAAAAAAGGCATTTTGGCCTCTGTACTAGGAGCAAATCAATCCAATTATACATTGACATTTATGACAAGTTTCCCATCAATGCTTTATCGTGACTTTAATTGCACATATTGGCGCAGTGCTGTCCTCACAGCACTCTGCTCTGTTAATCGCATCAACAGTTTTTATTTGCAGCATGGCTGCACTCCTGCCGCTGCCCAAGAAACGACACGTTGGCGAGTGGGCTTCTATTTGCCTTGGTGGAAATCAACTTGTGATGAATAAATGCATCTGCAAAAGTTCCATCTCTGCATGAAAAGTCTTTTTGTCGAATCCATGAGCCAATGTGTCCTTCAGGACTAATATGGCATTGGTTTAAGCAGGAAAACTCTGAACTGGTTTAATCGTTGTGGATATCATCAGTTAAACTAAATTCGTAGGTTTTTCGTGGTCGTGCTGTACAGTTCTCCGATGCGTTGTTGGGTCGTGCCACGTGATGTTCATCACGGTGACCAACGTTTCCCTGCATGTGCTGCCAACTTCTTCAGGAATTGAAGAATTCAGAATTCGGTTCCTGAAAAATTCTCCCTGCGACGTCGCGCGGAACGGCACGTGGTGCAATTCACAAACTAAATAATTCGGCTGTCGAGAAATTCGCGGCATGTGAAGCGAAACGTCGGACACCGTGTCGAAGAGCGCGCGGTACAACGGGGGAAACGCGTCGGCGAGGTGAATGCTGTGGGAAGTTTTCTGCTGCTGTTGGCAGGGGCCACGTGAGCTATGGGACTGCCGATTGAAGGACAATATCACTGTAAAGAGACTCACTTTGTTGCACCGTTGTGGAGAATTGGGAAAGGAAAAACGTCAACAGCCAAGATCAATCCACTGCTGGATGAAGGGCTACCCAAGTAGTTCTACGATGTAACAATCTGTCGAGCACCTGCTCATAGGTTGTTTTCATCGCTCCATTTCCTTCACTGGATGGCTTCCTCAGACACGTTCCATTCCTTGGCTGCCACTTTGGGTTACGACGTGTATACGTAACTCAAGAAAGGCCTCGCTGAGCCTCGGAACATACTCAAAGGAGGGCGCTGGTTGGGAACGTTGGACCAATTAGTTCTGTTCACATTCTTGTACGTGGGAGGAAGTCGGAGTGCCTGCAGAAAACCCGCACATTCAAGGGAGATCACACAAATGCCACATGTATCTTCCACGATCCTTCTCAATGTACAACAAGAACTCAACACACATTCGTCAAGAATTTCTCTAGAAGGAAATTAGTTCTATATGTATATTAAATAGCTGACGTTTTAGGGAATGGTTCTTCATCATAGCGGAGAATTTTTTTTTTTTACCCAACGGTACTTCCTTTTGTAGATGGCTGTCTCAAATAGGCTCCATCTCCGAGCGACCTGCCAGCCCCGTCTCGGATATTGGGTTGTAGGGTTAATTTAAAAAGTCCGTAGACAACGCTGATTTTCGCTGTGACCCCGAGGTGACACCGTGTTGTTGTCCATACGTCGAGCGTTGGCACCAAGGTGGAGGGCTGTGGCCAGCCGGTCCACACGGCCATGTCACATGTAGCGGTGCCTTAGAGGTCATCTTTCTTTAGAAACTAAGACAAAACTGTTTAATTAGCGTACGCTTTGCATTATTGACATTACTAGCGGCTATTGTGTAATTTTTCGATTTAAAGCTTTTGTGACTGCAGGGATTCATCTTCTTGGTTCTTTCGGTAAAGTCACATAGAAGGGAAATAATAAAAATAAAACATAATAAAATACAATTCTCACGACGTTTCGGCCACAACGCAAGAGGACGGCTGCTTGCGTTGTGGCCGAAACGTCGTGAGAATTGTATATTATTGTTTAATTTGTATTATTTTATTATTTCCCTTCTACGTGACTTTACCGAAAGAACCAAGAAGATATTGTGTAATTATTGTATCGTTACGAATCTTTTTCCCTGACAAATGAAACAAACACAAATTGAAGTGCTAAATCAATGATCAGCCCTGGACGTGTGGTTTCCTTTTGTTCTTGAACTCTCCGCCAAAGTGGCGTTATATGGCAGACCGTGAATCTCGGAGATTTAATGTAACGTTATGAAACTGTGAGACAACAATGATGTTATAAAGGGCTTCATGCTCCTATCGGCCGCCTGCCTCGCTCCACCGTGTGCGCAAATGTTAACCGGTGGCGAGATGCATCGACGACGTTTGTCCCCCCGCCTGCCTAATGAGGCGCAAGCTCGCTTGGTTCTCCCTTGGTGGTCCTGTGGTGAGAAATTCAGGGTGTCGGCGTTACAGTCCGTCGGGATTTTCGAGCTAACTTGAGAATCCACATGGGCATCAAAATGAAAGTGGCCAGGGCTATTTGTGGCCAACAAATGTTGCCGCTCGAGCTATAAACATTTTATGCATTATTGTGTGTGTTTTTTTAAAGCACCACGGACAGCACAAGGCCGCAACTTTAAAAACACGGCGTCACGATGACGGCTTGTTTACCCCCGCCGAGCGGCGTCGTGCGAAGGGCATCGGTTCTCTTTTTGTGGCACAGGACGGGAATTGCAGAACTTGGAAACTGGTTTACCAAAAAATACATCACGTGGTGCAGTTTACCACTGCTATCACAGTAGCCACGCAGCAATACAGGCAGACATCACAACAGTGCAGCCTGCTCGTTAGCGACGTGGGTGAACGGCCACCGCTACGTTTAGGGGTGTGAGTGTGCATCCTTGCTGTGACCGCCTGACGTTTCAGTCGTTCGGGAAAACTGTGTCCAGCGAGCAGCTGTTTTTCTAACAAAGCAAAGAAAATCTAACATTTCCCTGATAAGATACGGTATGTGCATCTGCCTACCACTAAGTACCGCTGCACTCAGCGAATAAACCCTTGGGCTATTAAAACAAAAGGTGTGAGTGTGCAGAGTGCAATAACAGCAATCTGGGTCTGCCCTGTGACCTGGGTCTGCCCTGTGACCTGCCAATGAGCTTTCACCACTCCACGGGATCTCTGAAGTGCACTTAGCCTGGCGTAGGGCGCCACAGTGACGACGCCTCCACAAATTAGTGGGTTGTTGTGTTGGAGTGAACACACAATGAAAACAATCTCTGAGTCAATGTCACCTGAGGCTAAACGGAGCACCGAGCACGTTGTGCAACTAGCAGCGGGCAAAAGCTGCCAAGCTTCATGTCGACACCACCACCCGGCCCGTTGGGTACCAACCCTAACAGGTGCTCACCCTTACCATCACGAGGACGATATTTACATCTGTATATGCCGTCATGAGGAATGTATTCATGTCGTGATGAGTGAACTGTGCTCTGAGCCCGGTGACCTGAGTTCATTTCCCGCTTAACGTCAGTGGCGAGCTATTACTGAACCGGTCCCGGGACCTCCACCCGTTACCAAATGTGGTGAAGTATGGTCACACAACCCCCAGGAACGAATACGGTATAGGGTGGCCTTCGCCATGGGGTGGAGAGGCCTTCCTTCAGCAATTAATTGTGTTCGTGCAATATTTCAATATCTCATGAGACATTTGTGTTTGCTCTGATTTCTCTTTGCTTCATTGCTGTACTTTATTTTGTTTGTTTTTTATTTTGTCAAATCAGACTCTTTCCTGGTCTCTGGAGTCTTCACCTCGTGGTTAAACTAAATACCCTTAACTTGAATTGATTAACAAAGCGCTGTGAATGATTACTTTAATATTATTGTTAATATATTTGTTGTCGTTGTTTTTATTCGTCTGCAGCTATTGCCCTCACAGACTCAGGCATGCAGGAAAAGTGTCGAGTTGTTCAAGGGTGAGGCTCCAGCGGCGGTGCTGGAGCCGGCCACAGGAGCAGCAGCGGAGCTCGGCGCGGATCAACGCGAGCGGCCGTCAGGGCAAGAGGCACTCGCAAACGACGATGCCAGCACAAACATGGACCACCGAGGCAAGCGAATAATAATTCCACGCACCTCGCAGATCTTTCCGTCCAATTTTTTTGCGTGTGATGATTATTGTTTTAAGGCAAGTTGATTGCAAAACTTGGAACGTGAAGGAAGCGGGTCAGCGTTGCGGTCATTATAGGTGCAGAAAACAATGGATTTTACCACCATCGTATTCGCGGCTTGGCAGGGAAATTTGGAACAATTTCGCCATAATTAATATTTTCCTCATTTACTTGGCAAAGTTACATATGAGCGGCAATATATTAGATTCTACACGCAGCCACGGTTATAACCCACACGAGAAAAATAACGTGTTACTTTTTGTTATTCATAGTATCTGCCCTGAAGACATCCACTTATTTCTGGCTGATGATGCACAAAACGCTTCAAATTGCTTCGTGTACACACGTGTTATGCTGCTATAGCTGTAGGAAAAGTTTTATAGCTTAAAAAAGTTTAACTTAAAAAAACTTACAGATTCCAGCAATACGGGCAAGGCAAACTCGTGCCATACTTTGTCTAAATTACTTTGTTGGAATGCTCCACTACTCGAACCGGTATTTATACAAATGTCAGGCAAGTGTGCATGACACAAGTTTATAAACGTGCTGAAAGAAGTACATTTTTAAACGGTGACTTATTTTATCCGTGGGATTTGGGATCAGATACGTTCAGACAAAGACGGCGGGGACACATAACTTTAAAAAGTGGCACAAACAAACGGGCGGAGGGTGCACGCGTGGAAGTGCGCCGAGTGACAGGAAGAGGAATACATAGATCATGCAGCACGCCCCAAACAAATGGGAGGCATCATCTTGACTAGCAAGGTAAAGGAAGTGGCCTTGGGCACGACACGTCACGGCTACAAGGGATGACCACCAATGGCCGAGGTCGGTCACGGAATGGCTCAAGAAGAACGACGGCCGCCGTAGAGATGGAGCTGACGAGCTCCGCTCATGTGCAGCGACGAGATGGATTGTGGTATCGCAGGCAACGTGAGGGATTGCTACGGTGTGGGGGAGGCCTTCATACAGCAGTGGATAGAACAATGCCGCTGCTGCTGCAGCTGATGAAAACAAGTAGTGCATTACAACTTCTCTTTGCCCAGAATCTGGAGCTGCACAGTGCCACTCAATAACGCAGGTTATTTAAATATGCAGATTTTGTAAAAAAGAAATGCAGGTTATGCAATGCTCGGTCCACAAATGCAACCATAACCAGCAGTAAATCGATCAAAACCACAGGGGAAAATTACACTCAACAAAATCAGTACTGTTCATAAGTAGCTGGGGGAATATTTTCCTTGCTGTGGGGTGAATAGGACTTCCAAATCCGTTTGGCGGTGCCACATATTACCACACATCCTTAGCCTTATCCAATAATAACGTGCAACATAATTAGGATTCACTTTTACTGAGCATGCCAATATTAAATACACTTGTGTGAATTACAGCGAAGACTCTTGCAGTGACGGATATATTTTGTTTGTAGGCCATTTCGAAGTGGTAGACCTCATGTGGCCATAGACCGTAGATTCCCCACCCCTGGCTTATAGCATTTACAGTACTTACATATGATAAGGCTACAACAAATTGAAGTCCATTTAACATCTTCTTTGGTGTTTATGCTGTTCACCAGTTCCAATCATTAATATTACATCCACATTTCCACCACTCTGTTTGCTCAGTCATATTTTGCTGAAATCCCACTGTCTTTCCCTCAAATTGCCCTTCCCTTGATTGAAAATACAGGGTGTATAAGATGTTCACACATAAAAGGCATCAAGTCTGCATTAACCATACATACTTGTGGCAAAACATGCAACAACAAATATGCTTGGATAATGTATGGATTGTCCTCGAACTAATTTTCCAACACCAGAGACAACCTCTTTTAGCATATTTATTTTCATGATTTACCAAAAGGACGTGTGGTTAACACAGACTCGACGCCTTGTAATAGTTGCCTGTTTGGTGTGTGAACATCTTAGCACCTCCTGTGTGTTGTTCATCACTTTGATACTGGCAAAAAAAGGTCACTCGCTCAGGATATGCCCAGTGAAGTGTTTACGAGGCATTTAAATGCCAACCAATTAACATTGCTTTTGAATCATGTTTATGCAGTTTTTTACATAGCTGAACATTCACCGCTCAAATCACCCGCAATGAACCCAATCTCATCAGATCTCAGAAGCTAAGCTGGGGTTGAGCCTTGTCACTACTGTACATGGATTCGAGACTACCCAGACATACTTTAACAGGTATTGTAGACATGAGCCAGTTTAACAGGTAGGCTTTCGCGACCAATATTATTCATAATCAACGTTTTTGGGTTTAGATCGCGTTATTTATAAATGTGTCGTAACCCTCCACCACCCGACACGGCCAATCAGTAAAAAAGTGTCACGTTGACAAAGGACAATTAGTTCACTGCTTTAGCCCACCGGTGTGTTGAAGCGTGAAACCACAACTCAAATTGTAAATTGTTGTGGTTTCACGCTTCAACACACCGGTGGGCTAAAGCAGTGAACTAATTGTCCTTTGTCAACGTGACACTTTTTTACTGATTGGCCGTGTCGGGTGGTGGAGGGTTACGACACATTTATAAATAACGCGATCTAAACCCAAAAACGTTGATTATGAGACATGAGCCAACCAGGAAATGGTAGTACAACAATATTTTAATCCATCTGTGCGGAGCTTTAAGTGTTATCCCCTTGTCTGCATTCATTTTCTCCGTGTACTCCAATTTCCTCTCGCGCGCCATGCACTCCTTAATGGAACTGGCCAAACATCCCAACGAAAGACGTTCCCGAAAATGAAACTGAAGACCCAGTGTGGCTCACTCGGACAAACAAGAGCATTATAAGTCACCCACCCAAGCCGAACATGCCGTCAGTTAATTTTTTCATCCACACACAAAAATCAAACAGACCCGACGCTGTTATCACAGAGATTTAAAAGGGTTACAATGCCGACAATAAACAAAACATCTCCGTGCTGGCAGGGCAGACTTGCAGGCATCACCCCGACCGCTCGCCAGACTCACGGGCTCCCAGGGTGGGTTGGCACGGCGTTCTGATGACTGTGCCGTCCTTCAGCACGGGCAACTAGGCTGCCTGCCACCGACCGCCTGCGGACATTAAATACTTTATTACGCTCTTTGTAAGAGCAGGTCATTGTGTGCGCCGCTGTTGTCATGGTCAAATGTACTCTGCCTGCAACAATGGCTATATCGCCCACTGCGCTCCAGCCGCTCTGTCGCCTTGCCACCTGGCCTGCCCTGCCAACTCTCGTTGCCCGTCCGTGAGAACTCTATTCATCCTACTCACCGCGGCGTGGGCTTTCGCGATCGTGCAGCGCGGCTCTCCCGTGTGTGTTGTCTGGCCGTACCGCGTGCTTGTTCGGAACGATGTCCGACGTTTCGCTTCACATGCTTGGGAGCTTTTTCAAGCGCTGTTATTTTACTAAGTTCCCGATGAAACTCCCGGTACGCGTTACAATAACACACCGCACAACCAAAAACACAGTAGAAGGCCATCCATTAAGACCTCATCTGACGAGAAAGGAACGTTTTGCAAGACCTCTACCCTAATTCACCATATCCTTGACAAATGGGTCTGCATCTCTCATCACTCGCATGTAGCCAACGAGCCAAACTTGAGTTTGATTGTTCATCAGAGTGCAATAGGTTTATCCAAACCTCACAGTTCACTATCCTACAGTGACAGTAACGGTTCAGGGGTACAGTCGCCGCAGTTCTAGTCCCTCGCAGGTATCAGAGTGCTGTTATTAGTGGGACAATGCAAACGTGCTTTCCAGTGATTCATAGCATTCCCTTACCATCAACCACGTGGTTAATCCCTGGCTGGATGAAGGCCTCCCCAAGCCGCGCCATCTCTCGTGATGACTCTGCGATGTAACAATCCACTCAGCACCACCTGTACATTAGCCAAATCCATCGCTCCGTATTCACGAACCATTGAAAAAAAGCTTCTTAGCTCAATGGGCCTCATTTAAAAGAAACTTAATTTAACAACTAATATTTATTATAGATTAAAAAACACACTTGCGACAAGTCCAAAGCCCTCAATTTCATGAACTGTGTGATTTCATTCGGGATAATGAAAAGAGCAAGTCTATGACTGCTTATGTTTTAAACAGAACCATGATAATGTCTTATGCATGATACAGATACTCCAGAACTGGACTTGATAACTGGATGTCAGAGCACAATTCTGATGTACTTACAAGCAATCCATTTAGGGGAGCATGACAAGTCATGCCATGTGATCAGCTGTTTGTATGCCAAGATGCGGATGATTGGCAACAGAGGCAGCCTTGCCCCGAAATTAACAAAGGTCACTCATTCGTCTTGAGAAAGAATTCCGTTACATTGATATCTAACCAGCTTGCCCTGTAGGTATATGGAGCGTATGGTCAGGACCAGGTTAAGTTTTTGCGGGGCCTGGGGCTCTTTGAGATTTGGGAGAGCATCTCTTCTTCCCCTATTCAACTCCATCCATTTTCTGTTTTAACATCACCCATGCCCATTACCAAACACTGCATTGTTATTCATCCTGGTCATTTCAGTTCTAGTTTGTGAATACGAAATAACTGGCAACACAATACACACAGTATATTGCTGTGGCTTTTATTGACCACAACACAATACACACAGTATATTACTGTGGCTTTACTGACAACAGCACAGTACGCTAAAGTATGTGTCATAATTCAACGGTACAGTATTGCATTTTAACCATTATAAAGTGTAGTATCTTTATTTGGGGGAGCAGGGGGGGGGCAGTCAGTCAACATCTGAGGCTCCAGACTGCAGGCCCCAAAGCCCCTGCGTTGATCCAGCCTCGTGTGTAAAAAAACCAGGGAGCCGATTGTTCTCTTGCCCTGTCCTACACAAGCTAAAATCCAAACCGCACCTAAATCGTGAACAATGGCTTCCTGTTTTTGCAGGTGATTCATAACTCACAGCTGGCAGATTCATTCACGGATAGATGCGTCGCTTTTCTGATTAAAAAAACACCCCCATTCCGACTGCTAGTAATCTATTGTGCCGTACTTTATATTTAAAAAAGAAAGCAATCTGTTTTTAACAGTAAATATCCACGGTTATGGCACGCGCTTTATTCAACGCCGTTTTAAAGGTTCTCTAAAGTGAAAGGAAAATATTTTCTCGGAAAATAATTTATAAGTCACTGTTCCGTATAAGTTAATGATACTGGCAGCTGTGACATCGTCTGCGCGTGTATTTTTCCTGCCACAGTTGGCAGCGGAGCGATCATGTGACCACTGTTAGTGGGAGCGGGCTCGGGGACATGTGGATTCACTTAGCAGCAGGAAATCGGGCGAGCACATCTGGTCTTCTGGCCTAGGTCGTCCGCATTTGGAATGATCGATATTTGATTGATTAAACCCGAGCCCCGTCTCGTCTGTTTGCCCCGTTGTTTGCATGTGAACACCAGGAGCAGACCTCGAGGCGGAAGGGGGCTGCTGCCCTGTCGTCGCGTCGTCCCACGTGAACACCGCCACTGTCGACGCGGTGCGCTTGTCAGAGTGCGGGCAAGGTAGGCGACATCAAGATGTGACGCGTGCAAGATGACAGCATTCTGACAAATGCATGTTGAGGACTTGGTGTGCCAGGCTGACCGTTTCATCTCATCCACACTGCGTTCAAACACCATGCGCACCGCTGGCCCCCACACTCTCTTTCTGCTTCTCCCCACGCATTGCTCCACTCTGGAAATCCCTCCCATCGCTTCTCGAAGTGGTCACAAGCTTGGCCAATGTGTATCGACTCGAATCGATTGCACCTTTATTTGTACTATTTGTTGCTGGCCACTTGGCGTTTTGGGGGCTTTGGGCCCGTGCCCAGCAACTGCTTTTAAACAACATCAACAATCCTCACGCAGTTGAATCGGTGCCAAATGCAAATGTCGTGCGGGGCTACGATGGGAATATAAAGGAGCTCACTGCAAATCAAACAGCAGGGCTCTCAGAAGTGCGCAATAATCACACCGCATTCTCCAGAGTTTACGACTCACTTCCCTCCCTCCCCCCTGTGTTTTATAAAGTTAAAGTTGAGGGTACATCCTATAATCCGGTAGTTATCTGTTTGTGTGACCAGATTTGTATAACTGTATTGTCGGGGGCCATAGGTCTGAGCTGTGTCTTACTTTTTGTAGCATCTTATTATCCAGACAATTGAGTAATCACCTTTGCCCCCGATCAATCAACTGCTGGATGAAGGCCTCCCCCACTGGTTTCGGTCACCGGAGTTTCTGTTTGACTCGGCTTCACATTCTTATCGAGGTTGTTAGGCGTTGTAGCACAATCAGAGTGCTAAATAAATAAAGTGACTTTTATTGTGCACGTGTTTATGCAATGTGCCATAAATTACATTTCTGCTATTATCTGGGGGAAAAGAACACGCACTGTTATTGCTTTTGCAAGCACAAGAGCATATTTTGCAAAAGTTTAACGCCAGCACATTGCTGTGGCATTCACACATACCGTGTCCAATTTGTAATGGAAATTTGAGCAAAAATATAGAAAATATCAATACCCACGTTAAAATAACGTATGTTTTACCATTGCATTAAGTGACCATCTTCATAAGGGAAATAGAAGAAACTGAACAAAATAGTTTTGACTTCTAATTTAAAAGAAAACATTCTCTGTCTTTTGTGTAAAATGTTGAATTGTACACACATATGCACGTAACTTAACTCATTGCTTTTTTATATTCTTGGTTCTTTCGGTAAAGTCATGTAGAAGGGAAATAATAAAATAATATAAATATAAAACAAGAAAAATTCTCACGACGTTTCTTTTGCTTTTTGCCCTAAGGGACACATTTGCTTCAGTGTCAAAAACACGAGTGTGCAATTATTTGACTCGTCAATTTTTTTTGTTTGCCCGCTCGTCCTTTCAGAGCAACACGTGAAGCTTGAGCCGCTTGTGAACACCAACGGGACGGACGTGGAGGAGGGCGGCGGAACAAATAGTGGCGACATCGAAGTGGCTGCCAATCCCGCGGGAGAACACCAACAAGACGCCCACTCCGACCCGGTGAACGGAACGGAGAATGAAAGCGACAGTCAAACCGACGAAGCGACCGATCGGCCCGATGTCGAGCCAAAGCAGCGCGGCGAGCTGGATTCCTCGAGCGCTTCTCAGGGCAACGAGGTTGGCTTCAAGAAAATATTTAAGTTCGGTGGCTTCAAGTTCACGATGAAGAAGGACAAGGCCGCTCAACCGGAGCCCGCCCATCTCCTGAAAGTGAGCAGAGGGGGGGAGGAGGGCGCCCCTTCTTCGGACGCGGCGCATCAAACGCCCCGGCCACACGAGCCGGACGAGCAGCCGGCGGGGGTGATGGAGCCCGCGCAGGCCGCTTACGCCGGCAGCGGCGGTGGGGCGCACGGGGCGGAGTGGAGCGGCGGTAGCGGCGGCGGCAGCAGCGGCGCCGGGGAGGAGGAGGACATCGTCGACCTGGAGATCGTCGACGAGGAGGAAGTCGCAGAAGCGATAGCGGCGGAAGCGGCCGCCTCGCTCGCCGCCAGCATCTGCAAGCCGCCCGCCGAGCCCCCGAAGGAAGAAGCTCCCGTGCCGCCTCTGAAGAAAATGTCGGGGCTGTTCGCGGGGCTGCGCAAGAAGGCGGGCGACAAGCAGAAGCGCGAAGAGGGCGCCGCCAGAGCGGCCGCCGGAGACGCGTCGCAGCGTCCCGATGACAGAAAAGCGGAGGTGGAAGGGAAGATGGCCGAACTGGCAAGAGCGTTGGAGGCGCATGCTGGTGGCGAAGAGCAGGCGCCCGACGACCAGCAGCCCTGCTCGTCCAAGTCGGAAGCCACGCCCGACGTCCTGGTGTCCACGGCCCACGTCCTCGAAGCGGCCACGTGCGAGGGAGCAGCGAGCGACCCGCCTGCAGGGCAGCAGCAGCAGGAGTTGGCGGCAGCGAATGGCGAGAGCGCTCTGGAAACGGCAAATAAGAGCAAAGCGACGAACGAAGCCGCTGCCGATGACGACCACGACGGGGATGCTACAGACACCTCTGCCAGGGCCAAGGCAAGGACTCATGAAGGACCTCTGAAGAAATTTTTCAAAGGCTCCGGATTGAAAAAGTTACCGAGCCTGAAGAGGAAGGTGCCCAAGGAAAGAGAAGAGAGTGAACACTTCACTGGCGACGAGGGTGAATCGGGAACGGACGGGAAACGAGCGCAAACTTCCATTTCCGTGGAAGACAATAATCCGGGGTCCCCGGCGCACGCAAAGGAAGCAGAAACTAAATCGGAGGATTCGCTGCATCCTGGCGCAGCGGCCGTCGTGGCAGAGGGCAGGAACGCCGGCGCTGTAAGAAAGCGAGAGGGCATCACGGTCTGGTCTTCTTTCAAGAAGCTCGTGACCCCTAAGAAGCGCGTGAAGAGAGCGGCCGAGAGCGACACGGACGACGACCCGGAGGACCGGGCGGACGAGCGCTCGAAGAGCGGCGCGCCGGCCGCCGAGGGCAAGTCGCAGGAGACGCACGGAGCAGCGGAGGAGGTGAAAGTGACCGTGGAGGTGCACGGCACCGCGGAGCCCGCCGCCGTCGTCGCCGTCGTCACGGCAACCGCAGCGGCAGACGTGGCGGCGGAGGACGCGTCATCGGAGGCCGCTTTGGAGCCGGCGGCCCTCGCCGTGGCGGCGAGTGACGAGGCGCGGGCGGACGAGGACGCCGCGGTCTGCGACACGGCACCGGCTGCGTCTGACGCGGAAGTCGCGGACGGTCCGGAGGTGGCGGCGGTGGAGGCGGCAACGGCGGCAGGAGAGGAAGAGCGGCGCGATGAGAGCGAGTCGGCTACCGGATCCCCCGAGGGGACCGAGACGACGGCCGGGAGCGGCGGAGGAGCGGAGGGCGCGGCGGCGGCGAAGCGGGGGGACGACGACGCGCGAGCTGGCGACTCGCCCAAGCGCGAGTCCGCCTGGGAGTCCTTCAAGCGGCTCGTGACGCCCAAGAAGAAGGCGAAGGCCAAAGGCGACAGTCAGGCGGCCGGCGGGGACGAGGAGGACGCCTTGCAGCGGGCAGCTGCGGAGTTGAAGCGGGACGTGGAGCGAGCCGCTCAATCGCAAACGGAATCCCCGAAGCGCGAGTGCGCGAAGGCGGAGAACCCTTCCGCCGCCGGATGGTCGATCAAGAAGCTCTTTCCGGGGATGAGGAGAAGAAAGACCGACGCCGACGCGGAGGGCGCCGAGGCGGAAGCGGCCGCCTCGCCGGCGAGCGGTCGCGTCAAGTGCGCCGAGGTCCACCAGGACACGCCGTCCGTCGTGCCGCTGTCCGAGTTCGAGTCGGGAGATCTGTCGGTTCAAGTGGAGCGTCCGACGGCCGTTGAGGAGGCCGAGCTGTCCGTCTCCCAAGAACCGCCTCCCGAAGCCGCTTCCGAGGTCGTGCTCGGCGTGCCCACGGAGGCGGCGGTGGCGGCGGTGGCGGCGGTGGCGGCGGTGGCGGCGGTGGCGGCGGTGGCGGCGGTGGCGGCGGGCGGTGATGGCATTTTGAACAAAGCTGGCGAGCCGTGCTACGATAGAGAGGAGGGCGGGAGCTCCGACACGGCGTCGCTGGTGAGTGCGAATGCAGCAGGACCAACAGATGGTGCTTCGCGTACGGATCAACCTGCGGGTGCGGCATCTGAAACATCAGTTACAACGAGCGACGATCGTTCACAACACGGCGGCGCGCTTGTGAAGGAAGGAGAGTCGAACGCCCTCCAAAACGTAACTGGTGGACAACAACTTGGCGCAGGTAAAACTCGTAGCGGATGCGCCCTCGGTCACAGCCACTCGGCTCCAAACGCCCGACAGTGAAGCCGCTCGTGAAGGTTTAAAAGAAATGTCCCCAAGCCTGATTTTGACCGAAAGTGCACCAGAGAAACCGAATCCGTCGCCGGAGGAGCGTGACGAAGAGAACGCCGATAAGGACTGTGCGCCGGTGGTTTGTGTGGTCGCCGGTGCCGAGAGTGAGCCGTGCACCGCCGTGCCGGAGGCCGCTCGCGCGGTGGACGGTGGGATAGACGGCGCATCCGGTGGTTTTAGCAGCACAGCTCGCTTACCAGACCTTGTGACCGACGCTTCAGCAGCTAAAGAGGGGAGCAGAGCTCAGGATCTCCCCGGTGACATTCTGGCCACAGACATTGGCTGCAGTTTGAATGGAAAGCAACAACGTCTGCAATCGGAGTGCCAGGAGGTTCAACTCAAGCAGACCACCGTCCAGTCGGCCGCCAACGTCGCCCAACAAACGATCGAGCAGAACGCAACTGGGGAAACGCGTTCGAGTTGGGCGGCCGAAGAAATGGCCGAAGAAATTCCCGTGCAGTCCGTGAAGGATGCCATGGAGGCTTACAAAATCCCCTTGGAGACCATGGTCATGCAAGCTCCGCACGGCCAGGATCTGGAGGTGATCATGGAGGAAGACGCCGAGAGTCCGCCCATCTCCGGCGCAGCCGCTGCGCCTGACGGCGCGCGGCCGACGCCCGCGGCGGCCAAGGTGAACGCCGAGGAGCGCGAGTGGCCGACGGCAGCGGCGGCAAACTCGGAGGCGGCGCTTGAGGAAGAAACTGTGGAGGAAAGTGACTACGGGAAAGGGCTGCCTGTTAATCACGACGCCCACAACAACAGCAACAATCATCATCATCGTGACGATGTCAACAGCCAAGCGCCTCTTGATTGTGCCTCTGTGGAAGGCGGCAAGGCATCTGAAATAACCAGCAAGGCAATTCCAAACAGCGCTGGCAGCGTCGAAACACTGTCACAGCAGAAACGTGCAGATGGGCCTATGAGCGAGAACAATGGACCCGAGGATTTGTCCTCGGCAGTACAAATGGATAAAGCGCAGCAGCTTTTGGAGAATAGCCTGGGCAACAGTAACTCAAAGGATTCCGCGGCGCAAGCGGAAACGGCCGCGGATCACACGCAAGAGACGCCGCCGCCGCCGCTCTCCGAAGGGGGTCTGCTCATGGCTGCCGCACAGTCCTCTGTGAGCTAGAGCCCTCCAGGGCCGCCTGTCCGTTGCTTACCGGGTAAGGCTACGATGAGCGGCGTTCTCTTGCACAAAAAACAACTCGAGTACGAAACTCCGTTCGGCTTCCTAGTTTAAGCGGTGTCTGTTAAGGGAGATGTTCACCCATCACATTTTATGCAACTGGACACCCGGGCCTGTGATCGTTTTTTTTGTCTATTCTGTTCCATCCCTTGGCTGCTGTATGACCACCCATGCCGAAAGCCAAACAAACTACATTGTTATTCAGCTTGGTTCTTTGAGTTTTTAAATCTGAATTGTGAATTGTAAAGGTGAATCAAAATGTGAAATGAAAAAAACACTTATTTTTACTCATACTCTTAGTTTTCGTTAAAGTCAAGTAGGTGAAAAATAATAAAATAAAATAATAATAAATGAAAATAAATCAATTAAATCACTTTTATTTTGGCACGTAATTGGGAGAAGTACGCATTTGCAGTGCTATGGCTTTAATTACCAAAATGACATTGGGATTTATGATCGTGCTACAGTATTGCATTTTAACCATGATAGAGCAGTAGATATATTTTCTTGGAGAGGGCCCACAAAATCGGAGCCCGCTGGCTGTAGCCCCTAGAGCCCCTGAGTTAATTTGACCCAGACGATGACCACGTGAATATGATTTGTCCTGAAATTCCACCGTGCCAAGAAACAGTTTAGCGTATTTGTTTAATTCATTATATTGCACATATCAAACTATGGAACAAAAACATGTTGTTATTTTTTCAAATATACGAACAAGGTAACAAAGGTCAGATTTTATATATATAAAATTAAAAACCAATTGCAGGATCTGCATTTTGGTGTTTACACGTGCATTTACCAATATATATGTTTGTATGTATAGAAAAATGTTTCCCATGAGAACTCGGAGGGGAAAAGGTCACATTTTTAATTTGCCACGGCATCTGGTTACCCCTGATCAGCTTCAGCTCCCGCAGGTGAAGATGACATTCCTGCCTCTGTGCGTGTGTGTGCGCGCGTGGTGTTTTTCTCTCCTGCCTCACCAACTGCAGTCGTATAGCAAGGCTGCCATTATAAATCTTGGTAAACTTTGTCTTGTCAGACTTCAGCTGCTAAATGCATATAAAGTGAGCACATCAGCCCCTTTTAAGTGTCTTTTGTTATTTTATATTTCGCGTGGATTGTGCAAATGTCAACGTTTTTTTAACGCCTCTTACTGAAGTTTTTTTTCTCGAGTTTCCTGGAATTTTACATTTTTGCTCCCTGGTATTCTCACCCAAATTCCCTCTTTAAAAAAATCTCATCGCTTGTGGCAACTGTGTCAATACGCATTTTTAGCTAACAGAAACCCTGTATTTTGGGAACTGTGCCAATTTTAAATTAGTGCCAAATTCTGCATTTACGAGCAGTCTTTAGTCTCTGGAGGAAGGTTGTCTGCATCCATCCCCCACATTTCTTAAAATTCTGAATGTAATTTGGCACACAACATTACCATGGTCAATATCTCACCACTCGTGGGACATTTAAACAGTATAGAAGAGCATAAAACCATCGAAAAATCCGACAACATACGCACATGCTTCAGTTCATTGCCACATCTTTTTGGAGGCTTATGTTCCTTACCAGATGACCTCCATACTTTGTAACGGACCTTGGTCGTCATGGTTACATTTTCCCTTTCCTAGAAACATTTTTATAAAAACCCATAAATAAACGATCTGGTTAGAGTGGGTGTGGTAGGAAAATGATTCAACCAATGTTTTTCGGCAAATAAAATGACACCTTATAGGGTACAACATACATGTTGTGGTTATACTATACACCTCTCCGATATGCTTCCGGGTTGTACTGCATTGCTGCTCGGCACGATGTCCGACGTTTCACTCCATGTGACGGGAGCCCAGTCCAGTTCCCGAAGAAGCTCCCATCACGTGGAGACGTCACGCCGAACATCACGCGCATAGGGGGAGCGATAACATTACATCAACGATTGTTGGGATGTATATGAAGGGCCCAGGACTTTTAGAAATGTTCAGGTGTTATATTTTATCAAGCTTGTAAAGGGGGAACGTCTTTCACAATTATGAAGTTAATATGTTCAGAATCAACTCGAGGAATCCTATGAGCTGTAAAGCTCTTTTTGTACAGATGTTCAGTAGGGGCGGGTAAGCACGTTACAACAACAAACAGTACAAACACACGATAGTGCCAAGTACAAGAAAGGTAAACAAATCACTCAAACAAAAATACAAAACAACTAAACCATCCCCATCCTACCAGGCAAAGCCCACTGAGGTATTCACTTATTTTTCAGAAGCGACCTGGCCACAGATGATAGCTCAACGAAGTGGCCCATCATTTGGACATTTATAGCACCAAAATAATCCCAATAATCTCAATGCACTTCAGGCAACCTTTTGTGCACTGATCGTTGCTGTAATCATGCGCCATCACTGCCACCGTGTGGTGTTACTGACCCCACATTTGTACTAAACGTACCAACATCGTTGTTGCCTTTCTCTTGGCGCCTTGGGGAAAAATGAACACGAGGAGTGTAACCTTGATTTGAAGCTTTTGTGACTGCAGGAATCCATACTCTTTGGTTCTTTCGGTAAAGTCACGTAGGTAGAACATTAATAGATCACGACGGTTCGATCGCAACACAAGCAATCGTCGTCAGGTGAGACCAACACAGCAGGAGAACTGCCGTTAATTGTCTATGGACCTGACTTTACCGAATAAACCAAAGAGTTCGAGGCGTGTAACAAATCTCGTCGCCTCTTCTCGTCATTAGTGGACTTGTAGCGGCCTCTAGTGGCCACCATAATACAACAAATACATAAAACACATTATTTGGCGATGCTGGTGGCAACAATCAACCACACTTGAAATAAAAAAATAAATGTTTTATATATTTTATATTTTAAGGCAGTGTTGTTGACGAGTGAGTTTAGAAAACAACTCTATATGGATAAAATAATAAATTCCAGTCATTCTCAACCTCCATACCATGTCGGCCATGGGGGTTTTTGACCATACTTCACCACCCTGGTCACGGAAAGTTGATGGAGGGCAGTGTAGGACAGGTTCTGATATCGATGTCAGCCGTGGCCAAAAATCAAACTCGACGCTAACCACTGCGCCACCCACAATACGAATCAAACAACAGAACTGATTTCAAACGACGTTTGATGCATGCAGCCTGCTACAGAAGAATCGATATGAATGTACACATTACGCCCCCAGTAAAACATTTAACTTGTCCTTCTACCACGCACAGTGTGAAACATTCACGACAGTGGAAACATTGTACAATTACTGTCTTCAGTAACTGTAGGCAGAGTAGGCCAAATACCCTCGAGAAGGCATCTCTAGGGCCTCTGCTAGTGAAAGGCCCTCCCACCAGCAGTGGAGCCAGCAAGCAATTTCAGGGCTGCACCTTTAGCTTGAAAAAAAAGATCAGGCTGTGTGTGAGATGACTGCTGAGAAGGTTTGTTTTTTCCTTTGTTTCAGGACACGTGGCATCACGAGTGAAGCCCTCAACCTGAATTGCTGCTTGGACCAGTCCCAGCGAACCCAGCTCCCTCTGTCGAGGAGCAGCAACACGTGTGAGCTGCTGTACAGTATTTTGTATTCCAAGGGGCTAGGGGTGGAGAGGAAGGACCATCCTGGTTTTTTGTTTTTGTGGTTGTTGTAGCTTACTGGGAGACTTACCCTGGAAAATGTGGGGAGACGCACTCCCTCACACGCCGGCGACACTTCGCACATGTGGACTTCGTTTTCACATGCAGTACATCCTCGTTCGTGCCGTGGTGTGGAACAGTTGTATCATTCTAACAGTAGACGTAGTAAACGCAAAACAGCTTACAAGTTTATATACACACACACACCTACCTATGGCTGTTAATAACATGAGTGGAAGAGTTGAAGAGAGAGAGAGAGAGGGAATAAAGAAAGTGTATACGCTATAACGGTAATCACAGTAATCAGTTGGTGGCTGGTTAGTCGCAGCTGGTTTGGGCCAGGTCCTACTCGTGAAATTATTTTTTTAATAAAACGTTAACACTACTTACCTGCTAATTATAAAGATTATAAACTGAATGTACCTCGCTCACTCCTCCCAATCCGCCTCCCCCCCCCACCGCTGTTGGCGTAGATAACTAATCGAGTCGGTGATGTTCCTGCTCAAAAGAGCATTGAGGCGGAGTGGTCACCCGCTGTTTGCAGCCCTGAGCCAGCGATGGAAATTCCACATTCCTATAGTGGGGGCGAGTATTTCATAGGACCACCACTGTCGACTTTCCCACAAAGTGGTACCTATTTGATTGACCACGGGGGGATGATGGGCAGAGTTCAACCCCCAATTAGCATTTTTATTTCAAACCTTTCAAACCTGAGCCTCTTGCTCCCGGCGCAATATATTCTTAGCAGCTGGCCGCCACTGATGGTAAGACATGTTGTGAACGTGTTCACTGATGAGAGGCAGATGTGCAGGTTTTTGGAAATATCGTGTTTGCTGTGTGATTCACTGCAAGCAGCTAAGTTTGCGGAATGCAACGCTTTCAAAGTTATTCCTCCTCGTCCTGCTTTTAATGACTTTTTATTTTACATTTGCTTTTTTTAAAAATAGTCACATTAAAAAAATTCCACAGCGAGGCCATCCCTCACGATGTGCAGAGGCTCAAGGCCATGATACTAAACTGGTGACATTGTAAGGCAATTCCCACGGCTAACTGTCACTGGCGATGCGTTTACTGTGAGCAGCTGTGGTGGCATGGCATGGCAATAGACTTGGTATGGCAATGGAGACTTGGTATGGCAATGGGGTCTCGGAATGGCAATGTACTTAGTGAGGCAATGGGGTCTTGGTATGACAATGGTATGGAATGATGGAATCATGTCTGGACAATGAAAAACCTGTTTAAAAGTGCGTTTGATGAACGATGATTGGTCTACATGGCACACAGCTTGAGGTAGCCATGTGACCTTATCTGTGCAGTGATTATTCCGCAGAGCACGCAACCTCGGGTCGTCGTGTGACCTCTGTGATCTGATTGAAAGTCACAATTCAAGTTGCCCATTTTGCGAGCAGTTATCGCACATTTGTCCAGATTCGGCCAAATTAAACATGTTACAATAAACAATGGCGTGGCAACCGTTACCAGCAAACAATTACAATACAACTCAATAGTGAATCAATTATCTTATTGGTTGTCCACCGGTGGTCTATCGTGGTTCGAGTTTGGGATCGTACAAACTCCACGTGGGTTTTGTTAAATTGCAGGCGAAATGTGCAGGTGGTTAGCAGATTAATTCGAATGTTGGGGCTGTTGCCAGACGAGTTCTCCTGGGACACCGCGTGGGTTTCAAGCTCTGGACTCGCCAAGGCAGAGAGACGTGTTGAACTCCCAAACACTCGAGCCAAGAGCCACAATCACTGTGTCCATCAGGCTATCTGGCGGTTGCCATGGTGAGGAGCACAGGTGGTGCATCTGCCCGTCATCTCAATCAGTCACCCCATAATACCTGGGTCTGTCCCATAACCTGCCAGCAAAACTTTGACACCTCAAAGTGCACCTAGCCTGGCACAAGCACTGTGGTGGTATCACTGTCCTTTAAGGTAACATGGCAGCTGTTGCTCGAGCGGTTATGGGTTGCTTGATGTATTTTCCCTACATAGGCTCATGGAGCAGTTTCTAGAAATGCAATTGAGTGAGCTGACATTCTCTAATTACAGTTATCGAATGACTAGCTTGAGCAAAGAGACTATATCTGAAGATTCGGCTATATTCACACGCAGCAGAAGATGTGTGTATTTCACCAGATGAGACTGATGAGACCTCGTTCAGAGCTCTGTTTAAGTGTCTGTACACTTCATGAGAGAATAGCGACGCTCCGATGTGATAGAGACAACAGTAAGTTGTCTGTGAACATCTCACTCCACTGCACATCGCTCCCATTCTTCCAGCATGCTTAAATAGCCCCCAATTACAGTGGAACTTCACTCAAACCAGGTGAATATAATCAAAGACTTACCTAATTTACATGTTTTAAATGAACACGTGACTACATTTTATTTTATAAACTGTGTAATGGAAAGTATAAGCCATGTAGATTGATTCAAATTGATATGTACAGGATGCTATAATTGAAATAGATATAGGTTCAAGGTATAAACATTATAAGAGAGTTATTATATAACTGTGTGTGAAATAGCCTATGACCCTGTGGTGATGCAGAGATGTTATGTGACCCTAATGCGAAGTTTTATTTGCAAAATCCTTCATTTATGAAATGCTCATAGAGCTATTGCATATGAATTAATTGACTCATTAGATTCAAGCCCTTTCTCAACCCCACTACTGCATGAAAGCCTCCTCCTCACCCTGCAGCTTGTGGGAGTTGTTTGACCATACTTCACCACGCTGGTCAGTGCAGATTGGTGAAACTCGCAGGGAGGTCACCCAGGACCAGTTGTGTGGTTGTTAGTCGTGACCGGGAGTCGAACTCAGGTCACCAGGTTCATTACACAGGGAACGAACCACTGTGCCACTGCTCCCCGAGTTCTTACACAGTCAGTTTCCTTTCGTTTTTGCTGTCGTTACAAACAATATTAGCACGACGGTTGAAAAAGAATGTGTCTTAAGTCACAGAGTATTCAATTAAATATCACAACTCTGGAAATTGACTTTTCAAAAAGAACCAATGTAGAAATGTGTTTGAATGTAGCAGTCTCTCGTGGCTGGAGGGGTCACACGATCTCATTACACAACTAATATGAATAGAAAAACATTGATAAACAAGTGATTTGATACCTGTATTGTGAGATATTGATAAATACGTGCTTTGATGTCTGTATTGTGAGATATAAGGTTCAATATAAAAATTATCAATTGATGCATTGTGACATCCCCGAATAAATAGAATAAACGTTACTGGCTTTAGTGGTATTAGTGGTATTTTACATCGAAACTTGCTGTTTTAGAGTATCTGAGTTGGAATTTATCTCATTTAATGTTTTTAAAATGTATAACTGAAGTTCCACTTTAAAGTTAGATGAAGCTTTTTGTTGAACGGTAATTTCCTTTACGTAAGAGAACCCAATATGCTTCACTCTGTCCCCTTACTGCCATGCCTCTGTTTAAGTACTGTAAATATGCAATCGTGTTACAAATATGTATACCTATTTAAACATTTAACAATAATATACTGATGCTGTGATTTTCATACGACCGTATATTTCAATGTGTTGCATGAAAGCGAGGCGCTGTTTGCGTGTTTGTATATGACATGCAAACGCATTGCAAACTTCCACTTTGCTAAGTGTCGGGAGAGAATGCAAAAAAGCTCCGCTTCCAAATTATAACAATACGCTCCGTTTTGAATGTTCCCCGTGTGAAACTAAATATCATGTTCATGAACTTGTTTCAGTGGCATTTAAAAAAGAAAGATGATTCCACACAGTAAGGATGTTTGTCATGGTGTGATGGTCGGCATGCTGGACCGACAACCCGGGGTTCGTCGGTTTGATGTCCCAGGGGTGGAAACATGGCGCAAGCTTCTGCGATCCAGCCCCGCGACTCTGTCCGGCAGGCAGTGTCGATGGGGACGCCGCAGTTTGCCCATCAGCAGGTGGCGTGTGGTGGGGTAAAGTGTGGGTACTCACACATCCTCTTAAGACGTTTGGTCAGCGTGGAGGAGGCCAGATGGCCTCCAGTGTGGCTCTGTCTCGACAGGCTCCTCTGGTGGAGGCCGTTGTGACAGCAAGTGGGGTAAGCAAGACGTTTGCTGGGTTCCACATTCGCCTTCCACCTGTCCAGTGAGCAAACGTTAAAGATTGACAGAATGGGAGTTATTGTTAATCCGCATCTAATTCCTGGTTGAAATTGTGAAGATTTATGGTAATAATACAGAATATGGGCCTGACACTGGGTCAGGTAGAATACGTTGTGTTCATTAAACAAAAAATGCTACTTGGATGCAATATAATACAAGTTTCACAAAGCCTATAATTTACAAAGTAATTCCGTCAATGCTGTTAAATATGCTATAGAAAAACAAATCAACAACCCTGAATGTGTCCAAGTAAAAGCTGACCTGATCAACATGCAGTGTATTAAAGAACTGAAACTTCTTCACAAAGTTTGAGATAAATGTATTGCAACGTATAAATGTTAAGTGAACTATCTTAACAAATACTTGTTCGCGTGAAGCATTCTCGTCATCAACCCCCCTTGATGAGTGAGGCTCGTCGCAAACTCGGCTGTTATGCCGTGACCTTTATATCAGCACGACAAGGAGGAGATGTCTCGTTCATGAGGGTCGATCGGCTTTGATCTCGTGGGCTACAGCGACTTACTGTCCAATTGTGGCCAATGAAAAATCTGCGAGTGGCTCCCGTGTCTGGCACAGCAAGTCAATCGCTCTTGCAAACCAGTCATTGTATTACCCAGCATGCTTCACAGCAGTCTGATAAGTTGCCATGCAGTGGTTTGCGGTCGGGGTTTTGTGCTTTTGCCAGGAACCCTGTCGATTGGTAGGAGTGCTCTCACCAATAACAACATCTGGTAAAGCAGCGGCATTTTTGTTGGCAGTATGTGTTAGACCCAGAAGGTGAAAACTGGTCTAGAGTGTTACATGCTTAAATAACTGCTGCTGGTGATGAAGTTCTAGAAGGCAAATAAAACATAAAACAAACTATTTCATGTAATTCCCTGGATTTTTCCACAACAGTAAGTCATTAAAATAATGTCCATAAAAGCGCTTTGCATCAGATGTATGAGTAATAAAGGTTAAACAACAGCACTCTATGCTTAAGACATACTAACCAGTCATTTATCCTGTTTTAGTGGGAACTCCATTTGAGTTAAATGTATGAAGTAAGTGTTAAGTGCATTTTCTCTGCGAGAGTAATCGCAGCACGTCACATATTCGACTGGCTGGGGCCTGAGGTCCAGGCGGATCTGTGTGAAGGGGTCGGATGTGTGAATCTGTAGAAAATGACCGTCACGCACAGACACTGCACTGGGTGTGGGCGGCTCTGACTGGTGTGTGATGCATCATCAAGACCCGACTCTGCTCCCAACGCATTGTAAACGATTCCACGCGTGAGAAAGGCTGAATGTGCCATGCGTGTAGCGGTGCATGGCGAGCAGCCCTGATGAGCCACAGGATTTAGAAGTTGTACCATTTCCAAATGCAAGTAGCGTAGATTAGCATTTAAGCTTTGAACTTAGCTCTACCACGGCAGTGTCATTAAAACGCATGCTGTGATATATCTTGCCCATCTACAAAACTAACTGCATTAACTGAAGGGAGATAAACAGATGGATGCTTACTCTTTGCCATAAGGCTCATTTAATTTGCCGGCTGTGCAAGTTGCGCGCACTGTGTTTTTGTAACATTTGCAATGTGAAATTTATTTCAAAAATTAAAATGTTAGACATATGTTGCGTTTCGCAATCATTTTGTGGATTTTTGTTTGTTGTGGAAATATTCATCGCGCAAGACATGTTTACTGGAAATTGTCAGAGTATAAGTACGACGTGGATGGGGAAACCGATCGTAACTGTTCACGTGGTCTTCCCAGTCGCGTGGCAAAAGACGCCAAATGTCATCGCTCTGGTGACCCGACGTCAAAAAGAGCAACAGCAACGATGCAAACCACGACTCTGGGAGCACGTTCCTTCGGAGTGGGCAGGTAGGAACTTGGTTGGACAGCGCATTCGTGCGATCCGTGTTGGATACCGTAGTCGTGTTGGAGGTTGAAGTATGCACGACAGACAGATAATCCCTGGTGGGCAGTGTGGAACCTGTTGTTCCTACCTGTATAAACCAACCTTCCATGGCTGCGAAGCGTGCAGCTTCACGTGGAAAGGTTATCGAGTGTCGAATGCGACTGAGTGCTTTAACCATATCCAGAGGCATCTGAAGGCATTATTTAAAATAATCAGCACTGGACCACCGCATTATCTTAGCATTCTTGGCAGAGTCCTTCCTTGTGGGGCCATGGTGAAAGATCACAAAGATGCGAGTGTGGGCAAGTGGGTTGAATGCCAGTGGAACGGGTGATGCTGTAAGGCAATGTCAGGATCACCTATTGGCAGAATAAAAAAACTAACACTGAATCAATGGCCTCAAAGAGAAACATAAGAGATGACATGTTGGCCAATGGTCTTTCTCCATAGCACATAAGCCAGGGGGATGAAGTGGATAATAATTGGAGGCTGCATTCTACAGGTTTTAAATTGGCATTTGAAGGTACCTCTGTGTATAAGCTGCACTTTGTGCCGTACTTAGCAACCATGATAGTCGGAGGTGCAGGGGAAGAACAAACTAAAGACAAAAAGGAGTTCTAAAGAAGTGAGTTTGTCTATCTGGAATTAAAAGTGCATAATAGCTCCAGTGGCTTCCTAATATCAGAAGGAAGAGCGTTCCAGACGGCCGCAGAAGCGCATCTTAAAGTGCACGACGCAGTTACCGTGTGTTGGATAGTTACCCAAAATGAGTGAAATATACACTCTTCAATAATCAAGAAGTGTTTCTAAATAAACAAATTTACACTAAAAGTAAAGTTATAATAGAGATGAAATCACAGTCTGTAATGAGTATCATCTGTACATCAAGTAATTATCCTTTATATTTGTCGTGATGAAGCGTCACTCAGTTAGAAGTAGATTGTTTGGGAGAATCTGGCACGAGTCAATCCGTAACACTTTAAATTGAATAAAAAACAGCATTCAACGTGGTCACGTGACATTGGACTCGTAATGAAGATGCCAACCGCTGCCTTGTGTTGTTCTGACACAAGGCCTTGTAACAACAACCGCCATTCGCCACTAAGTGGCGGTGACGTCACCACGACGCTTGTGCCAGGCCATGTGCACCTTGAGGCCACGTGAAGTGTCGAACGCCCGCTGGCAGGAGGTCACTGGGGCAGACCCAGGTACCACGGGGCGACTGACTAACGCCCCCTGCTGCACCAACACAGTACTGTAAAACAACGACCTGTGGCCATATACATCATGGGACCCTTTGTAGCACTCACACACAACTATGTGATTGTGTATCGCCCAACATAACGTACATTCAGAGCCCTAATGAACAAAGCAAATCGCGGTAGGTTGGACCAGCTGTTTTATGGCAGTGTATTCAAGCGTTAAAATGTCTCAAATACTGGCCATCCATTTAGAGATACCACACTAAAATGATAGGAAGAAATTATAATCGCGACATTTAATGTTAAATCCTCGACGTGTCTCCAACGAATCTCGATACTCTTGTACACTTCTTACAACCGTTTAACACGACGATACGGAGCCATCTATTTTCACAAGACAGCATTCAGTCACCCGTGAATAAAAGTTCAGAGGGGCATATCCTGGTGAAAGCGCTCGCTTTGCTCCTCCGGGTACGCTTCCATGTTCTCCTTTAATTTATCCAGATGAGCATCAAGGAGATGGACTTTGAGGGACATCCTACAGCCCATTGTGCCGTAGTTCTTCACCAGAGTCTCAACCAGCTCCGCATAGTTTTCGACCTTGTGATTGCCCAGGAAGCCACGAAACACTTCGACAAAGCTGTTCCAAGGCCACTTTCTCCTTACTAGTGAGCTTCTTGGGGAATTCATTGCACTCCAGGATCTTCTTTATCTGTGGTCCGACGAAGACGCCGGCTTTGACCTTTGCCTCCGACAGCTTTGGGAAGAAGTCTTGAAGGTACTTGTAGGCTGCCGACTCCTTATCTACAGCTCTGACAAATTGTTTCATAAGGCCCAATTTGATGTGCAGTGGTGGCATCAGCACCGTCCGGGGGTCCACCAGTGGCTCCCACTTGACGTTGTTCCTCCCCACAGAGAACTCGGTCCGCTGTGGCCAGTTTCGCCTGTGGTAGTGCGCCTTGATGTCTAAATCTTTTGTAGTAATTTTTGTATTACTTTAGTATAAATACATGTTAATTTTATTCATGTTGTTTGTTTATTTTATGTGAACGAAAAGACACAAATTCGCCCGATTTTTATCGAAAATAGGTGAATTTCAAAATATCACTGTCCCGGTCACAAAAGCAAAGTTTGTGGGGAATAAAAGCCATTTTCTGTACTTTTCAGCCATAAGCAATTAGGAAACAACACTTATACCCATGAACAAAAAAGTACACATTTGTGACACAGTGTGATAAACGACTACACAACCCGCTGCACGTGGCGGCGCTACTTTACAAACGTTGCGTCCGCACGCGCCGCGCTGCCTCGACATGCAGCCGCCTGGGTTCACCCTCTCAGCCGCACGCTCCACACGCGCAATCTCTGCCAAGGCCTTGCCATTTACTTGAAAGGTGGTCAAGGCCTGCAACTGCTTCTTCTTCGCCGCCACTGCTGCTGGCAGGCGGGCCTCCACGACAATGAGCTGTAGAGAGGACTCCGCGAGGAGGGTATTCGGCCTACTCTTCCACGCTGCCCCAGACGTCTTGGAAGAGATGGGAGTACCCACACTTCACCCCACCACACGTGACCTGAACGGGTGACCGACTTTAGTGCACCCATTTTTTGCAATGCTGAGTGGAGAGAGGCGGAGGATTGGTGAAGTTGCCCATTGCTGCCACTGGCGTGCCGGAAGACTGAGTGGGTGCCCTCTGCATTGCGAGTTCCGTGTGCCACCAACCACGACACCACCACGGTCTTAGAATTTATGTTTGCGTTGATCGATCGACCGTCATTTTTTTCTTGCACATTTAGTATTTTTTACCACCACAAAACAACACGTCACGTTAAATTGTAATTACGTGACCTTCAAATAATAGCAAGTGTGGCACGCACGTGCGTCAGCAAGCACAACACGTGCGCTACGTGTGTTATAATGCACACATCAAGAACACGCGTGAGAAAATTAAAACACATCCAAGCAATCTCTTAGCCATTTTGACATTTGTCCGTACCCATCCAGAGACTGCGGTAAATACAAAGGTGTAGTTCGACGTAGGTGCCGTATTCACACAATGCGTCTCCCACTGCCGTGTCAACTGCTTCGCATTCACAGCTGTGCCAGGGTGGAGCTCTGCTCACACGACTATCCCATCTGATGCCGTCGAACCTGAGAAGTGAGCACTTGAGTTACCTTTAGCAGACACTCAATTTAACAATTCCAAAAAGGCAACATTCCTTTACGAGACTTATTAAAACACCGTTTATGAAGAACACTTTGATATGCCAATGCTACCACCCGTGGCATTAAACAATTACAATATAAATGCTTGTTAAATTACAAAGCTGTGATAAAGCAGCACCCGAAGAAGCATTATTAATATTATAAATGTAGGAACACCACAATCTCAAGACTGTTCAAATAACGTAGCTGTTGCCATGATGAGTATGCGAGGCTAAGGAACGCTTCGCTGCATTCAAAAGAACGCCGATGTACATGCACACTGGTCTTTACACCAGTGCAGTGTGAATGCAAACCGATGGGATTGTGCGGTGTGACTAATTTCACCCAAGTCAATTTCACCCAAGTCAGACACAGCTGGGTGCGATATACGAAGAAGCATGGACCTGGGTGCGATAACGACTCCCTCTTAATTTCTTCCAACGGGGTGAATGTCTATTGTGAAAGCGATTTCTCGATATATTGTAATACATGTATTGAGGTTTGTAGAGGACATACGAAGGGGTTTTTTTTTTAAAGAAAGTACAGTAATCTATAATTTCTCCATATTATTTTATTCGGGCAAGATCAGAATGTCCATCGAGGCGATGGAGCGATCGAATTAGCGTGTGCGGGTGCGAGTTGGATTATTCCATTGTACGATCACGAGAGATGGTGATGGTTTGGTAACGTTTTCCTCCAGCAGTGGATTGACCCATGGGTGATTTTATGGGGTGTCTACAAATGGATCGCGCTGAACAATAAGTCAAGTTGCGCAGTAGCTCCAAGCCGTGCTGTGGTTGTCACTTGAAAAGTGAGGTGGATGTGGTGCCCGTCACATGCTGGCCGGTACACTATCAATGTTAACCACAGAACACGCACCATCAACAAGAGCAAAGCAAATATCGAATCCACAGCGCTGCGTGACAGGTCTGGGGTGCTGGAAGTGTAAAAAAAAATACCTCTCCAACTTTCCAATGCCACAGGGTAAAATGGGTGACCACGGAAAGAGCAGCGAATCCATTTAATCACCGTATTTATTGCAGACTTTGTCGTGCTGTTACATTGCAGAAAACAAATCCATCAAATAAATAAACAATCCCCGACACCCGATAGGCATTCATGCAATTTTTTTTCATCAAACCTTCTGGGTTATAGTGGTAGTGAGGTTTTTGTGAGCAGATTGATGGGATGCTCATGAATAAGCGATGCATTTGAATGTGCTGGGTGCTTGAACTCGCCAGCAACTCTGAGCGCCTTACATCGCTTGCATCTCAACAAGTCGAATGCCCAGCCACAGTTGTATTTATTTATTTATTACCTAGGGGACCCCCCTTTCCTAATGACAGCAGTCCCTATGCGGCAAAATGACCACGAACGCACGCGGTCATTTGCGCGTGGCGACGTTCGCCGTGCGAGTATCTGCACGCAGCGCAAAGTCGAGAGGTGCAGACGTTCACAGTCATCCGAGGACAAAGTGGATGGGAGATCGGAGCCTCCTCACAGACACCCCTGTTACGTGTCGGGTGCCATTAATGTGAACAGATTATAATCTTTCAAATGTGTCCGTGCAAACAATGGCTTCAATGTTACACAACAGCCGAATGGTGCTGAACACGCCATTTCTGTAGATTACATCGACGGGCGTTCACGATGTGTGAACTAAAGAATGGCGAGCAAGCGTGTTGAGTTCCCTCTCCACCGCACCCCGTGTGCTTGGTCACCGCACAACACGCAACTGACATGCGCGCAATTCAAGGCAACATTGAACAGTGAGCATGGCTCGTGGGCTTTACAACGCGTGAAGAATATATGAACGTATACATATTGTCTTTTTTTCACAAATGCGTAATCATCCCGATGTACTTCACAGGCCAGATGTATCGGTAGGCACCACATTTTCCCGTCAATGAGTGTTTTTATTTTCTCTGACAGTATCTACAAAATAAGCAACCACTTAACTAAAAAGAAAACAATCCTTACCATAACACCAATATTTTGCCGGAAGTGTTAAAGACTTCCGTCATTGCCACATACGAATGTACATGTATATATGAGGACACCAGTTCACATTGGACATCAAGGTTTATATGTTGAAGTTGGCTCATTCAATATAATAATAAAAAGTATTATTTATTTACCAGAAAGCCACATGGAGTCCAATTATTCTTTTTCAGAAGGGTCTTGCATTTTATGCTTTTAAATTCATTGATTTTCAGCCAATGAATGTGAATGTATGTTGAACTTATTTCGCACTGTATGTAGCAAACCGTGCTCATTGGAGATGTGGGGGGAAGGACAACCTAAACGCACAAAGCAGTTCTACAGAAATACGTTTTCAATCTAGATTGAAATGTACATAGCTCCAGTGGCTTTATAACATCGGACGAGCTTTCCAGACGGCCGCAGAAGCGCATCCGAAAGCACCAAGTAAACTGTTGCAGGATGATAGTGGAGAAAGAAGCTTTGGAAAAAACGAGTGAAAATGGGACGACCCAAAGATGCATGAAATTTAGATTTGAAGCTTTCGTGACTGCAAGGATTCATACGCTTTGGTTTTTTCTGTAAAGTCACGTAAGTAAAACAATCAATAAAATAAACTAAATGAAAACAACTAATAGTTGTTTTGTGACTTTACCGAAAAAAACTAAGAGTATGCATGAATCTATCTACGGTTGGAATTTATAAAAGAAGTCGGGGTGGATCAGAGCACAGTCAACCAATTCAGCGCCCTCTTCTGCATCATCATCATCATCTTCTCCAGCATTTAGTGTACCACAGTATTTTGTCTCAAAGATAGTATCCACCACGTGGTGCAGATAAAAGTGCAGCCCTGAAATTATTTTCTCAAGCCATTGCTGGCGACGGAGCTCTAGAGAGCCGCTCTGAAGGGTATTTGGTCTACTCTTCCATGCTGGTCAGATGTCTTGGAAGAAGTTTACTTGACTCCACTACACACAATCGACCAACCGACTGCGGGATGCCGTTCACTCAAACTGCGTGGTGGCCAGAGGCGGGGGGGGGGGGTTCGAGAAACTTCCACCATTGTTTCCACTGCCGAGCTGGGAGATCGACATCAAAGGGGCAACTTCGAGATTGCAAGTCCGAGGTGTGCACCATTGCACCACGTCAGCGTCCCTGCACTTGCAAGTCTATTCGTTTATATATTACAGATGGAAGTCTTAAAAACACAATATTGCACAGCTTATCACAATTGGTTTTGTTTTGCCCCAAGTGCTTTCTATGTTCCATAAAGTCTGCCATCGCCATCTGCGAACTGGTGAACAAAGAAAATGACAGATGCTTATTTGTTCATGCAAACATCACAGAAAGACACAAACAGTGGTTTAGTGGAGTCCAAAAACAAATTAGCCTCGAGTCAGTAAACTTGTTGTAATTCAATTATGAATTCACCATTGTGTACACAACATCTGAATAGATTATGCGTACACAATACGGCACTTTAAGCGTGGTATGGTAGACAATTAATACAGTGCCTGTTTCTGTCATTTTGGACTACAGATAATGCTGTGCATTAGAGCTAATGGCATTTAAAAAAAAAAATTGTAATAAGTGTCCTACAGGAGATCTCCTCTTATCCACGGTGATATGGGGGACTAATAACCGTGGATCCTTTTATCGGCAGGGCTATCTGTAATTTGACTCTTCTTATCTGCGGGGGGAAATATCGCAAATAACCCAAATGGTGAATAGGGCGAATTTTCCACGTGACCCCCTCTTATCCACCTGAAACAATGTAATTATTAGGAGGCAACTTTGCTAAGCACCATGGGTAAAATCACTCATAACTGCGAGTGTTAAAATAGGGCCACAGATAAAAACAGTTTTAGCGGACTCTACAGCTGCTGCAGATCATAGCAGTTGCGAGTACATAGGGGCTCGGATAACAGAAGTTCTCCCGTACATCAATAACTTGAATTCCGCATCTCAAAAAAAAAACGATTTATCAAACGCCAAGGCTAATTTTCTTTGGCATTTGCATCGTCCTTGTGCTGTTCACCTTTTGGCATTATTTGGTCTAAAGCACCAGTGAAGGAAGCCATGAAGGAGGCTCTCTGGTGTAGGCCAATCAGCTTCAAGGACAACGCATCCATCATATAACGATGTTTCTTTGCACGTTTTACCCACAATTGTGTGTGGTTAATGCCGACTTGATGTCTCGTAAGAGCTGTCTATTTAGTGTTTGAACATCTCAACACTCCTGTATTATATCAACTGTAATATTCTCTATTATGGATAGTTTTTACGTGAATAACCACAAATTAGCGAACCCGAGCCCGCTGAAGCTAGGACTGGAGGGGGGGGGGGGGGCACACGAGGCAAGTATTCCCATTCGTTTTTATCGGAAATGGAACGAGACATCTGGTGAGTGCTGGGAAATCTTCACTTAAAAGCATTAGCTAGCACACTACTTTGGATTTAACTGAACCCATTCTTATTCATACAATTATATTATTGCTAACGTTCTAAACGTTACACTAATTTGTTCCTATATGGAACCGAAAATACAAAGATATTTTTGCCACAACTCTCTTTAGCTTAGTGAAATAAATAATAACTAAAGTTGTCTATCAACAGGTGGTGGGTACATGAGGTATGTCGAAATTTAATTGCTTAAATATTTGATAAATTTCAAAACCGTCTAATATATCATTTTAGATTACTCAATGAAGTAAAACAAACTATTGTTCCCATTAAGTTCATCTCAGCACTGTCTGTAGAGTGACAATAGATTTAATCTACATTGGTAACTGTACTTAAAATTGGTCCAAACACTTGGGGACAATTTAGTGGAAGACTTAATTACGCAAGCCAACACACTTATGGTAATAGCCACACCTGGAGTTAAAGATAAAGGTGCAGCCCTGCAGTTGCTTGGTCAAGCCACGACGAGAAGGGGCCTCCACGAGAAGGAGCTCTAGAGAGGCCCTGCAAGGGTACTTGGCCTACTCTTTCAAGCACTCTGAAGTAAACGATGTCAATTATTATGAATTCCGATGCTTGTTTACATTTTATATTGCAAAATAGTTTAACCGTCAACCCATGGGCAGGGCAGGTTGAGTATTCTAGCCGTGGGCAACATTTGTACCTTGACTGAATCCATACATTGCAATTTCATTATTCAACTACTCTGCACAAACTGACAAACATAACTTTTACGGACTCAACACCTCACCTTTACTGTTTTGTAATTAGCTTAAAAGAAAAAGTTTAAATGAGACTCTGCTCATGGAAAATTATGAAACATATGGCATTGCATAAAATGTAAGTTTCTAATGAGCAGCAAACTTCTCTAAAACGTTAAAGTGGCTTTAAAGAAGGCACTTAAAGCACACACATACAAACTCATTCCTGCCAATTAAGCTCAATTCAAGAAATGCTCTTTTAAAATGGGCCCGTTTAAATATTTGTAATATTATACAACGTAGCTTATCAAATACTCCATTAAACCCAAGCATGGCATTCCAACCATGACACCGAGGTGCACCATACATCTCCCCACGTTCCACTTTCAGTTCATTCTAAGGATTCTGATCCGTGGCCAATTAACAATTAGCGTCTGAGATTAACTCCCGATTACCCGTGAGGCTAACGTCAGCTCACACGCGTCACGAAAAAAAAACTGGGAGCGACACCGCAGCTGCATGCGGCCACGTACGCAGAGGCGGGAAAGACATCGGCAGCAGCAGCAGCAGCAGCCCTACTGAGCACGCACGACACTACCATTGCTGCTGTTGTTGCTGCTGCTGCTGCAGAGGATCAAAAGTTCCCGCACCATCTCCTCGAGCGTGTACAGGTGCTGGTCGGGGGCTTCGGGCACAAGCCTCCTCATGGTGTTGGCCAGCTCAAAGAGGTACTCGGTGTTCTGCCCGCTGGGGCCGCTGCTCATCAGGATCTGCTGGGCGATCTCCGCCATGGGCGCGGGCCCCAGGAAGTTGGGGTTGTCCTCGGTGCCCACGTAGAGCATGGAGAGGAAAGGCTCCTTCTCCACCTCGCGGGGGTAGAACATCACGAAGCTCGTGTTGTAGCCACCCTGCTCGCGGATGTCCAGCCTCCGCTTGACATCCTCCCGGAGGTCGTCGCGGATTTTATACGCCACCCCCCACACGGAATTCTGTCGCATGTTGAAAAGGGGGGGGGAATTGAGAGAGGGTTTGGCTTGTAACGCAAAGTATTGTAAGTTCATCACACAAAGATCCACAAAATCATCATCTGTCATGATCATCCTACTGCTGGATGAATGTCTCCCCCAAGCCACTAATACTTCTCACGATCCTGCGATGCGACAATCCATCCGGCACCCACACGTGAATCGATCTCATCGCTCAATTCTCTTTGATGGATGTCCTCTCAGATGTGTTCCGTCCGTTGGTTCCGCGTAGCAATGACATTTCATAGGTCGCCTAAATGCCACAGCAAATCAAAGCGCCGCTTCTGATGTGATTTTCCACTGATCTTAGCCGTAGCTGGGAATCGGGTTCGTAGCGCTGCGCAGTAACCACTCCGGCACTACCGCATCCACCAAATAAACGTCATCAACGTGTGATTACATTTAGACTCGTAATTTATTTTTATAAAGTGTATCTCAAGACGGCGCATAGTGAGAGGACGGGGGTAGTGTTACCGTACAGTGCCACTCAAGGTCAGCCATGGTAACACTTGCAACACTGTGTCAGAAAATTGTTACTGCATGACCACATGTATTATACAATAATAACATTAGCACACGGTGAATGCAATACCGGCGCATAATGGAACATTACCATGCTGGAAAAAACCATGTTTAATAATGGGCAGTACATGCCTTGAAGCCTGTGAAATAAGCTCTTTCAACAAGTGCACACACTGCAGTTTGTTCACATGTTTTCAAATAAAATAACCTCCACGAACATTAATTTTCCTTGCTTTCTTAACTGTGAAAACACGCAATGGAAACATAAATTATTTCAAGCAGAATCAATCTCACAAATACAATAACGTAAGCTTGTATTTTCTTCATAGCGGTGCAATGACTAGCACAACACATTTAACAATTAGCGCGATCAGTCACATCTTCAGTTAAACACGATGCTGACTTCACTAAACGATGACCTCACCACCACCACACCATGCAGCACCCAACAGGGTAACGCCGGCACTACAGCCAACAGGCTAACGCTGTGCGTTCTTCAACTGCCCACTTCCAAATTTGTCTTGAATCTAACGCACGAGGTATCCACTCTAACACATCGTGGGGCTCTGTCGCATGCAAGAGATGTAAAAAAATGGTTACTTTCCGCATTGACCGTTGCGTTTCAGTTGTCAGCTTGAATGCCGGTTGATAAAACTGCCCTGCATAGCATCACATGTGCCAAGCGATACGAGTTCTCACGAGACAACTTTCAGCCAATGGTAACGCGAACAGCTCCAGGTTCGAAATGTTGTAATTGGTTCTCCAGGGCATGTGATGGACCCATCATCAGCCATGATAAATGCACTGCTGGTTGAAGGCCCGTAAAACCACCCGAAAGTCCACTTAGCTCCCACACGCAAACAATGTCGTGGCTACGTCTCATCTTCTGGACGTGCAACGGACAGGTGTGAATACACACCTGATGTAAATTAACATTTCACATATGATTGATTGAATCGTTTCTGTACAATACACTCAACTAATGAAGATGCAACTCTTTTGATTTTATGGAAGAGGATAAATTAAGTAAAATGTATTTTGTTTAACCACGATAGAGTCTCATTTGCAAGAGTGGCCTGGGTCACCAATATGACAACAAAATAATTCAAAATAAAGATGTACGATTTTTCTCCATCGTACAGCTAAAGGGGCAGAGCAAGCTACACGATGCCAGTTATTAACAGGGCACGAGGTCTACCCGGCCTGATTGGCTCCGAACATTCCAAAAGGGAAGCACAAAGAGACCTCGTAGCATTGGCGGACTTTGACCTGCTGATGCAACCATTCGTCAGCAGGTTGGACAGTCAGCTTCCACGCGAGGGATGAAATGAGCCATTCTTACGCTGTGGGAGTTTTTATTTTTTTAAGCGCACCTTTCAGTTTTACGCTGAACACGTTTCAACATTCCACGTCAACACATGTAGAGCTACGCGCAAAGACAAATACAACGCTGTCAATAATACATTTATGCCAGTTTTGATTAATTTATTAAGCCTTCAACTATGTTACTACCTCATCTTAACAAGTGCGAGTCATCGTATTTATTTGAGATCTTAAAGTTACCGTATTGTACTTTAAAGTGAGCTAATTGAACACTGAGCCTGTGGCTAAAAGTATCTGTAACAGGAACGTCATTTATCTGAATCGTATATATTTTGCAACTCTGAATGTCAATTTGTCACAGCTGAAACTTAATTTTACTGGCAGCCAATCGATTGACACTCCTCTATAGAATTTAAATAGAGAAGTAAGGCACTGTTTGCAATCCCAGATAATAAAAAAACTCACCACTTTCATAATTAACACTGCCACAGAAAAATATATATAATTAGGAAAATTTTCTTTACAAAGAAGCACCAATGCTAGAAATGCTACTCATTAAATTCCTCTATGATAAAACAGCCTTCATGGAAGATGTATTAACTTTTATTTGAAGATCTTTGTAATTTCTTTAAAATCAATTCAAACCAATAACCTCTTTTTCTTTTGGCACATCTGGGGTGGGCCAGTGCCACGCCCTCACAATTGGGGAAGGGTTTCCACTGGCTACTTGCCATGCTGATGCCGCAACCAAATTGCGATATGCTGACCTCACAAGAAGACATCCGAGTCTTGCACAGGGCCAGAGGCAGGGGCTAATGAATACCGCATTCATCGTGTGACATCAGTCAGTACAACTCAAACGCAGTGTCAGCACACAATCATCTGCTTGCACCTCGACTCATTCGTCGCGCGTAATGTCAGCCACAGGCTGACTCCACGGCTTCGGTTCTACGGTGGAAAACCAACCTGGTGCGTCCTGAACGGCAACCCTGAATTACATTGATTCATTGCATCGATCGCGGGGGGATTGAAGAGTTGCGTCTATAATATACCGTGTGTATGGAAACCTTCAAGCAGCTCACATGTATGCAACACTAAGGTACTCACCCCAGGGTCTTTCACCAGCGTGACCACTCTGCCAGGCTGCCAAAAGACAAAATCACATTCAAAGTTACTGGATGCAGCACACACAGTTCACGCTCTGGGTAACACTAATAGGCAGAGGTGGGACAAAGTCATTGTTATGCAAGTCCAAGTCGAGTTGCAAGTCTTTGTACATTTTGCCGAGTCAAGTCTGAAGTCATCAAATTCATGACTCGAGTCTGACTCGAGTCCAAGTCACATGACTCGAGTCCACACCTCAGAGGTGGGACAAAGTCATTGTTATGCAAGTCCAAGTCGAGTTGCAAGTCTTTGTACATTTTGCCGAGTCGAGTCTGAAGTCATCAAATTCATGACTCGAGTCTGACTCGAGTCCAAGTCACATGACTCGAGTCCACACCTCTGCTAATAGGCACATGCTGTAAGAAGAACAAGGCATACTTTAAGCATGCTGCCCTGTGCTTCTAGTCCAAAGTTCACCGGATTTAAATTAATTCTGACATTTGACATATCCAGGCCTGTATTACAAAAGAAAAAAAAGTGCAAGCTGCTGGCAGAGGAGTCCCCCTCCACTCGAGGGAGCTCTGGAGAGACCCTCTGGAGGGTGTTTGGGTCTACGCCATCCTGGCCATTGACTTCAGCGATGCTGGCTGCGTGCTCTGACCTCCGAGCCACCCCGGCCACCTTTGAACAAGATTTTTTTTTAAATCACTTTCAACGTGATGTTGCTTAAGTGCACACAAGTAGTACATTGTGTATTTTTTAATATATATATTATAAACTGAATTGCTATGGCAGTTATATGAATAAGAAAAAGCTTTCGCAGCAACAACAAATTATGATTTTATCCCGTTGGCCATTCTAATGCAAATACGCAGTCCGCTCCAGCACCAGCTCAGTGGGAAATAAAAACAAAAAACATCGCCTGGCAGCCGCAGTGTGCACAGAGATCGGCAAAGTGCGGGCTGCTACTGCTGCTTTCAATTTAACCAAACTGTCGTGCGCGTTTCAGTAAAGACGGATTGCACGCATTTCAACGTCTGATCCCGCTAAAAAGTACCAGCTGTACAAACACGGAGCGCATCACTATGCACGAGCACACCTCCCGGGAGGCTTATCGCCACTCCGCCGCTTGCCGTGGCTGAACTTTACAAACGAGCGGCTTGATTCGCACTTTCAGCGACACTTGGTACTCGGCTCAAAAACGCCGGGGCACAAGTCGTGAATTGGTTTCCTTAAAAAAATGCAAAGTATAGTTAACTCTTCATCATCCGTGGACAGACTATCCGGGTTTCCCGGCAAATGTGCTTGCGCAAAAATAAACATCTTGCTGTGTATGCTGGGTCAATTGTGCCGCTCCTCACTTAATGGGGGTCAGTGACTCGGGCTCCACGTAGACCACAAACATGTAGGAAAGAACACAGATTTTTTTAAGGTGTACCTGTGTTGCTCGATCTATGTATCTTGGTGATATCTGTCTGCTTATATGTCTGTCTATAGTTTTCTGGTTATATTTTATGTCGCTATTTCACTATACCTGATGATGATTGCTTGTGTTGCAATCGAAACATCGTATGCTATTATTTAATTTATTATTTTATCTTTATACGTGACTTTACCAAAAAAAACAAAGAATAATTTTTGAAGGTGTTATAAAAACATCTTCACACCAATCCTACATATGTAAATAATGATTTTGGAGGGGTTTTTTTAATCAGGATCAGCCATTTTCCCCTTTAGCATTGATCATTAAAATGTAAGTGTAAATAATGTCTATTTATTATCAAGAAAAAATGCTGTTGCCCAATCTCATGCAAATGAGCATTGTTATGATTTTTTTTAATGCCTGCCAATCACCATCCATTCTAAATGTGAATGTAGAGTGTACAGATGACATGCCATGCATTACTGGAGTTAAACTCATCAGCTAGCAGCGATAATACGATAAGACTGAGCATTGAGTGAATTCTTTACAGCGGATGGTACATTGTCGATTAACATTCACTTATTCTGGGTACAGCAAATAAATGGAATAATATATACGTTTGATATACTATAAAAACATTTATCAAGTTAAATATTAAATGATGGTACAAGAAATACAATCACTACCTCTTTACTTTATTCTCATTTTAAGCGCGGGCCCAGCTTCTGCCATCAATTTCAAAATTAACGAAATGCCAGGGTGATTAAAGCATTCTCCCCGGGCACAACAGGAGGCATTATTTGAGTAGTTACATGCAAATAGGCCTCACTCCACCAAGAAAATTAACTTTCAAAACCATGATGCAAAGTTTACTTTATGTAATCAGCCGTGATAACTGCAAAACTTACGCCACCAAGTACTTTTGTAGCCTGCAGCAGTGCGGTGTCCTTCTCAAGTCAGCTAACAAACTAGAAAATGAACGTATTTTGTGCATGCTCACTCCGTGGTAGAGTTCGGGTTCAAAATACATCGATTAGAAAAGCCCGGCGTTCCATTTGTCCGTCAACTAAATTATAAGAGAGCCTTTCAGAAGGCCTGAATCAAAAAGTTATAGAAAGTGAATCCCCCCCCCCAAGTTGACAACAATACACTCCCCCTCCCCCAATATAATTACCTACACGCCTTACACACAATAGAGTCAGTAGTATCTGTAGGGTGTGTAGGTGTCTATGCCTCTACACACGCTACACACAATAGAGTCAGTAGTATATGTAGGGTGTGTAGGTGTCTATGCCTACACACCCTACAAACAATAGAGTCAGTAGTATCTGTAGGGTGTGTAGGTGTCTATGCCTACACACCCTACACACAATAGAGTCAGTAGTATATGTAGGGTGTGTAGGTGTCTATGCCTACACACCCTACAAACAATAGAGTCAGTAGTATCTGTAGGGTGTGTAGGTGTATATGCCTACACACCCTACACACAATAGAGTCAGTAGTATCTGTAGGGTGTGTAGGTGTATATGCCTACACACCCTACACACAATAGAGTCAGTAGTATCTGTAGCGTGTGTAGGTGTCTATGCCTCTACACACCCTACACACAATAGAGTCAGTAGTATCTGCACACACTGGGGCTCGAGGGGAAAGAAGCAGACGTGGGTGGGGGCGACGGGCAAGACCCCCCCCCCCCGCGCCGGGAAGTCCTCCACAGGAGCTGGAACAAGGCAGCTCAGAAGGCCGCCAACATTCTAGTATTGTTCAAATTGGCACTGAAATACTCTGCTCAACTGTTTCGGTTCATAAAAACAAAATACTGTCAACCATACAATTCTAGGATGTTTTTTACTAAAGCCACCCGAAACTCTGTAAAGTGGTCTTGCCATTGTGCAAATGTCATGAAAAGCATGGCGTAGGGTGACGTCATTGTTATCTAAAATTATACTCGAGTAAAATGCTGTGCCAGATGAATAATACATTCCTCCAGGGTTATAGAAGACGAATGTCAATTACCCAGTGACCATACTGGATAAAAAAAAATAAAACAAATGCAGTCTCTCGTGATGATCTTCAATAATAATTTCTGTAGTTCAATTTCAGTTGTTATAACTATGGCATCAGCAAATCTGAGATGGCTTACAATTTTTCTCTATGTATTTATTACGCCTTTATTTTTATGATTCACTTTTCAGAAAACTAATTTAACTGTTGCTGTGGTATAACCTCAGCGATGGCATGGAATGAATACAAATGCAGGATTGCACAGAACCTAAGAAATTCAACTCTTGACTGCAGACTCTATTTTACATGCAATACAATCCCGGAATTGCAATCAAAAGACCTTTTGAAAAATTGCATGCAATCAATGCATGTCAGAGAAAAGAAAGCCACGCTTTATTCACCTTACGCCATACTGTTTTCACAATAAACAGGTTTGCGTGACTTTAATGCATTGCATCATTGAGCCTCCGGGTAAAGTGCATGGCAGTTAGGCATACACAGACGAACTGTGTGAAAACATTCATCCCGGAGGCTAGAACTGAATCTGCATGTGCCCGACGCATCTGCTAAACAGGTCTTATTATCGAGTGATCGCAAATCATCAACAAATTAATTATATTCTCATGTTACATTTAGGATAATGGCGAGAGAGCGTGTGAACGAGACCGAAACAACGCAAAAGAGATTTGTAAAAATCAGATCACAAATTCGCGACAATTGATCAAATTGCCAAGGTGATGTATCGTTACTCCCAAATGTTACTATCATCTCAATCCGTGACTGCCATCACAGTCATTCCATCATCATCAATCTTTATTATCTGCAGATTATTGCTGATAAGAGGATGGATTTAGAGGCGCAATGTTGGTGGCCTTTATAGAGGCATGGCACGTCAAATAGGATCCATTTAGCACTCGTATACAGCTCCTGCATATTATTATTATCTGAAAACCTCCAGATAATAGGAAGATGCCCATGATCGGCAGCCCGGCTAGTCTAGTATCGATATTCCTTTGAATAAGTGGAAGGAGCAACATACTGTATAGGGACTATATACATTCTATTACTTGTGAAATACAAGGATAATATAAAGACTGCAGTCAGCCCGGCGGACATTAGGCATTGCGAATAAGAGGGCTGTGGATACAAATTTATATAATTTCCCCTTATGTAAAATATATTGTAAATGTCACAGTTTAAACATGCGTGCATATTAATGTGAAACCATTACAAGGCAGTACAGCATTTCCAATTTTGCAAATGATGATAGAATATATTAGTAAATTAAATATCAACTGTGAATACAACCAGTTGAAGCCACATATGGTATCACAGCATGATATCAACGATACAGGCCCTGAGATAATTTTACTTGCCAAACTAAATTGCTGTAATGCAATTATTACACTGTACCGTATTCTCCAGATTGTAAGGTGCTCTAGTAGGTAAGATGCGCTCCAACCTTTGGGTCATTTTGAAACAAAAAAAGTTGAAACTTAGAATACGCCAACCCGGAAAAGCGGGGAACATTGTTGTCAGATATAAAGTAAGGGAGCGTGGAGCAGACATTGGGGGAAAAGATTGCCTCATCATCTGGAGTATATGGTGATGG